GCGTTTATCCTCCTCTACGCGGTTCACACGTCGACGGCGACAGGTCACCGAAAAATGCCCCCGCTGGCCACATGTGTTGCAATTTCTGGTTAAGGCTGGACATTGTTCGTTATGGTGAGCCAGATGATTACAACGTGAGCATCGACCACGTCTGCCCACGTAGCCACCACCTCCACGAAAGCGCTTCGACGAAAGCCCCGCCGCATTTTGGCATCTATGGCGATGATCAACTGGCTGTGCTTGTTCGAATGTTCTCTTAGTTCGGTTTACCACTGATACTTCCGTAGCCTCGGGGGGAGCTCTCTCTGGTTCGAAAGCCTCGCAACGTGTTGCCGATTGAACAATAAAGTTGGCGTCGTATCCAAACATTCTGGCCGTCTTGGCTAGTTCTTGGTTATTCATCCCCTTTAGTAGCTGAGCACGGACAAACCGAATCTGGTCATTGCCTCCATATCCGCATAGCCTCACCTCATCTGTCAGGCGGGCATGGAATGCCATTGCCGTTTCGTCCCTTTCCTGTCGCATACGACAAAAAGCCTCGTGCTCCGCAGCCGTATCCGTCATCGATTTTAAGTAATTGTCGATGTTTGCTACGAATTTTTCGTAGCAACCAGGATCGTCGAGATTTGGCCTCAGCTGTGCGGCCCGTACAATGCCTTGCATTTGCTCTCCGAGAGAGAGAAAAAGAAGCCGTGATCGACGCGCTGGATCGTTGGTATTTGAGAGTGAAGCAGTTATTTCAAAAGTCTCAATGAACCGCTTCCAGGCTTCCCACATTTTGCTTGCCGGGGTGTCTTTTGGGACTGGTTTCAACTGGTCCCATCGAAATGCTGCACCTTCAGTATGAGGTGCAGCGATACCGGTGCCGAGATTGGAATGACCCCATGTGTGATCCGTAGATTTGTCTTTGTCGTCAGGCTTGTTTGCGTGATCGGTGGTTTGGACTATCATCTGTGCAAGTTCAGTAATTGCAACTTCAAGTCGGTGGAGCCGGTCAGAAGATGTACTTACTGGTTGGGGATTCTCGGCCGTTCCGGTGGAAAAACCTCCTGTTGTATGGTCGTTGTAAAGCGGCTGGCGTGAAACGATATTTTCATCTCGCTTCGAACCACTTTCGACTGCATCGCCCGGTGCATGATTTATTTCCAATGGGTCATTGGAATCCTCTGGGTCCGTAGGAATATTTTCGGTGAATTCGATTAGACACTCCTCGCCATTCGCTTCGCCAATCGCATTTGGGTCACTATTTTCTTCACTTTCCATTTTGCTGATAGCTATAAAATACGCGGTAAACGAATTGCGTTACTAAAATCACCATAAAATCAAGATATAATTTTTCATATTTATTTATCACCCCAACTATTGGGAAGGAAGAAAAAAAGAAATTAGCAACCAGTGCTCTTATATTCCGCAAAGAAAAAAAAAATGCTTCAAAAAATCCAGTTTCATTTACGGCAATGCGATATGAAAAATAAAATATATATACGTATTAATTTCACACAGTTATACAGTTAAACTATTTGCATATCAGCGCACCCAAAAAAAAATGTGGCTTCGCTTTATCATCTACGTTTCTGTCTTGTGGGGAAAACTAGCACTAGCTTGTGCTAGAATAGACATTGGCATGTCGTGCCATGTCAGATTCGTGTTTGTTGACAGACAATAATCCCTCAACTGTATAAAATGGCCTAGGAGAGAAAAAAAAAATCACACAACAACCTTGATAAAATTATTGGGTCAAGACAAGCCACCGTCTTCTTTTTTCGTTTTGTTACAATATGCTGGTTGTAGTGAAGAGATCAGCTTATGACATCATATGATCAGTACATCGACTTTTTCTAGAGTTTACTGGTTCATTTCGAAACAAACTCGGTCCTCCCGACCTGTATTGACGCTCGTCCCGAGCTACAAAACAACGGATGTCTCGATGCAAACCTTAACCTCCCTGTTGATGTGGTTGTCTCAATCCACAGCCGACGGTCGCCTCGACCCGCTTCTGTCGGAAATGATCATACAGTGTGCGTCCTGCTTCACTACAACCATAGAGGTAACTCTAAGACCACTGGGTCCCGAAGAAAATCATTATTATTTTTGGCTCACTCAGTACCAGAACAACGGTCCCAAGCAGTCCCAAGCTATTTCACTCACCCCTGCATGTTCTGCATCAATCCACACACCCCTGATGTTATCTGTCAAACTTTCATAGCGAATCAAAACAAACATAGTGTAGTAATAGAATTTCAACTAGAATAGGGTACGTTAATCGTTTGCTTGGGACCAATAGGCTACTAAAGTGGTGAGCCAATTTAAAATCGTTAGTTTCGTATTGATTGTTGCTACAACTATGTGTCTACACACACTCACAAACGTGAGGTTACAACCACTATGTTGGCCGTCTCGACACAACGCGTAATTTCTATGTCTACTCACACACGTCAACCAGACGCGAGGCTCAACAACTTCTTTGCTGATCGCTTTGACACAACGTAAAACAATTTTCTATCTCGTCGTTGAAAAAACAAAAAAAAAAACGAACACAAAACCAAACAATAAATCCTTTGTTGCTGCTATTTTGATTACTTCGGTCACACTTTTTGAGCACTTCTTAGCGTCAGTCATGGTTGACCGCCATTTTGCCGTACGAGAAAAAAAAAATTATTCACTTAAGGTTTCTCCACCATTTTGTTAACTTTGTTCCACGTTTTATTTTTGTACTGAACGATTTCTGCCAGGGAACCATGAATAATTTACTTGATTCGATTTATTTGTGTCCAAAAGAAATGAACACAAACCTGGCACGGATCGCCATTGTGGAAGTCCTCCGGCACCCAGCAGAAATCGTCCAGCACGACGAGATCTCTCCACTATTACACTTACCTGCTTGACTGCTTGAATACCACTGATGCCGACTCACAGCGATGCCGAGAGTCGATGTCAAATCATTGCCGTTCACGCGGTTTGGTTGGTAGTATTCCTAGGGGTGTGCAAAACCCTTTCACACTGTGGGTAGGGTTGTGCGCATGTACTCACACAACCAAATGCCCTCCTTGGATGCTGCACAAAGCGAGACCAGCTCCGCCTCGGTTGATGACAAGCTGACGAGTTGTTGCCGCTTCGTACTCCATGACACGAGGTTCCCATATACCGTAAACGCACTTCCAGAAATTGATCTCCTATCCTCTTCGTCATTGGCAAAATCTGCATCCGCGTATCCCAAAAGTGGTGCCTCGTTGTCCCTCCTTCGATAAATCAAGCATAGATTGCGGGTTCCTTGAAGGTATCTCAGAATCCGCTTGAGTCCAGTCCAGTGGGTGTCATCTGGGTTACTCTGAAATCGACTGAAAATACTGACCGCAAACGTAATGTCCGGTCTACTCATTTTCCGCTTCCAAGAAAATATCTTCCTCCTCATCATCATCATCTCTTGTCTCCTCATTTTTAACTTCTACAAACTCTGGTTCTTGAGCTTCAGGAAACATTTGAGATTGTGGTAAAGCTAGCTCAAAAATTTCATCATTCCTCTCTGGATTGGACACTTCCTCATTGTTGGAAATTTCATCCTTTCTATGAAAATAAAATTTTCCTTCATCGAAAATGACGTCTCTTGAGATGACAATTTTATTCTCATTATCATCCCACAGACGAAAACCATTCGGAGCATAACCGACCATGGCCAAAATCCTGCTCTTTCCATCAAGCTTGCTTCGATGCACCTTGTTAATGTGTGCATAAGCAATACAACCAAACACCTTTAATTAATTACTGACATCTGGCTTGCAATTGAACCACATTTCATAAGGTGTCTTTAATCCAGACAATGCACTTGTGGGGCTTCGGTTTGTCAAATAAGCAGCGACATACACCGCATCTCCCCACAAAGCATAAGGCATTGCACCTTCATGTAATATGGTTGTAGCCTTTTCCAACAGAGTGCGAGTCATGCGTTCGCTCACTCCATTCTGTTGAGGGGTGTATGGGGCAGTAGGTATCATCTGGATCCCTTTGCTAGTGCAAAAGGCCATGAATTCTTTACCAAAATACTCACCACCATTATCCGATCTCAACTTGGAAATTTTCAAATTAAATTGAGCTGAGACCATTGCCTCATACTCAACAAATTTTTTAAACACATCACTCTTATGTTTGATCAAATAAACGATCACGAAATGAGTGAAATCGTCAATAAAGGAGACATAATACCTGAATCCATCATAAGTCTCGTCAGTCATATGGCCACAAACATCGCTATGAATCAACTCTAGAGGCCTCCTTGAACGAACTCTTTCTTCTTTCTTAAACACTTCTCGTGATTGCTTACCTATTATGCATCCTTTGCATACAATAGGATCAAGCTCCTCATTTCCAAGTCCAATATCAAGCCCTTCAACCATATGATTCCTGACTAACTTTTTCAAATTGGTTTCTCCCAGATGAGCGAATCGTTTGTGCCAAGTACTAACATTGCTTGAAATTTTTCCTAGATTTGCATAATGATAATGCCCTGATAGCGATATTTTTTTCGAACCCACACACTTTCATCTCGATTTTTAAATTAAGATTTAAAGCAAAACAACAACTTCACTGTTTGACACTAAACTAACAAACTGACAGCTCGCTCCCATACGAAGTGGCACCGAGGGGCGCTAATAAGGTGATTTTTGTAAATGTAATCGAACTTATTTAAAATAGTTCCAGTGGGTTCCATTTTTAATGCAGATTACGAATATGTATTTACCTCAATACCCTTAAAGAACCCAATTCACAAACGTCAGAGAAGTCTATACCCCTAAGGAACCCAATTCGCGGTAATTTCATAGGCACCACCCGGTAATCCATGTTGGCGGAAAGCCCTCGTGTTGAACTGATCCACCATCGACCACAAAGGGTAGAACCCGTCGTCTATTTTCGTCTGGCGTTTTCGTTAAATCAAAAACTTCTACTCGGGTAATCATCTGTCATTCACTCCGTTTCTGTCAGTCATCTCACCTTTGTGCTGGTCTAAAAAATTGACGACGACGAGACGCAGTGCGAAAGATGAAAACTTTCTGCTCCGTACGTATTTTGAGGTGTTTTTAAATTGAATTTTGTGCGCTGAATCATCGATCCGGTTTGCGAAATCCGTAGTGCAAAAGTAAGTTGACAATGCGGTGTTCCGAGGTTCGTTGGAATTCGCTGGGGCTGGGCGCTTCCGTGCGCAGGAATGACTTCTTTTCCTTTGGTGCAAATGCAATTAACCTCAATTATTGTGGTGGGGGAATGAATGGATGATCCGTGCACGGGAGAGAGTGGTCCCTGTCGTGTGATGTGTGTTGGTTGTCCGCAGTGAAAAGGCGTAGAAAGTGGAAAAGTCTAGTTCTGGATCCACCAGGATTGGTCCGGTGAATTATTTCTGGTGGTTTGGGAGTGCCACAGCTAGAGTAGGAGGTTCTTTGTGTGTTGAATGTTTTCTAGGTCAACGGGGAGGAGGTTGCGTCTCTTCCCCCGTGGCCGCCGTTCCGCCGCAGCAGCACCCAGTCTGGTGGATTGATATATTCTTTGTTTGGTGGGTTTTCAGGTGCTTGAGGCCGTCCCGAGTGCGCGATGGTGAAGAAAAAGTGCAATGAGATCAGGGACGACGATTCCTCGACGGAATCGAACGACGATGCGCGGTTGCATCCCCACTCCGCTCCGGGGGATAAGTGCGTCCACGTGAAGAAAGCAATCGACCCGACGATGGTCAAGAAGAAGCTGAAATTGAACGGTCTGGAGAAGCACTGTCCCAAATGCGTGGAGGACAAGACCCTGGATCTGGCGGCCGCTGGGGATGGCGAGGTGGAGGGAGCGATGTCCTACGATATGTGTTTATGGCTATGCCTCCAGTGTGGAACGCAGCTGTGCGGGCGGTACCGTAACCAGCATGCCCTTGCTCATTACAAGGTAAGGTTTGGGGTTTAAGCTATCTGGCTTGGTAGTAGGAGGGGATTTTGATGGGGTTTTTCTTTTCGTCAGACTCCCCGGTCAGAACCGCATTCGGTGGCAATGAATACGACCGAGTTCAAGGTCTGGTGCTACCAGTGTGACTATGAGGTGAACCCCAAGTTGGTGCCCAAGCTGGCAGATTGCGTCGAGTTTGTGAAACGAGAAGCGGAGAAGGCCAAGGATGGCCCACCGGCTATAACCAATATTGAACAGAAACTACTTGCAACGGTCGATGACCTCCGGGCGGTAATGGGTGATGCCATGCCAATACCCATTGCTTCCGGATCGACCGTCACCAGCAGTACCATGGGACTGGCCAGCGGTCAGAATCGACCGAAAGGCACCAACTCGATTGCTCCTCTTACGACACCAAACTATCGAGATCTCCGGTTGGACATTTACAGGGATCCCAATGCCGCCATCATTGATGGTCTCCCGCGAGTTCGAGGCCTGTCCAACTTGGGTAATACCTGCTTTTACAATGCCGTGCTTCAGTGTCTTGCCCGGACTCCGTTCCTGTTGGACGTTCTGAAGGAATCTGCTACGAAAGGGGAAAAGTTCCAACTGCCAGGTGGACTGCTGAAGCACAAGGATGGATCCGAAACGGAACTGAGACCGATCAATAGCGAGCTGGATGTATGGGGCAGTTTGACGGAGTCCCTGGCCTACACGCTAACAGAGCTGCAGTCCGAAGGCGGCGTTTTCTCGCCGAGCAACCTGTTGCGACAACTGACCGCCAAGTGGCCCCAGTTTGCCGGTGCCGAGCAGCATGATTCGCACGAGCTGCTCAGACATTTACTGGTGAGCGTTGCGGTTGAAGATTTAAGGAGGTGAGTTACGGTGGATCGCGTTCTACACTCTGATGTTGAATCTAAATCTTTCCTTTGTCCACAGATACCAACTGGTGATCCTGATTTCGTTAGGCTATAGCAAAAATGTCAATCCCCAAACCGTCGAAAATTCTATGAAGGAAAAAATCAAATTCTACGGCGCGCAAGCAGAAGATCGGATCTTCCGTCCGGAGCCGGTGTTCCGGGGCTTCCTCGTGTCGACCCTTACCTGCCAGGAGTGCTACCACGTGTCCTCTCGGCACGAGTCCTTCCTGGATCTTTCGCTGCCGGTGAGCGTCGAAAAGCCGCAACCTCCTATCCGACGGAAAGGCAGTCCGGAACCCGATTACGGCTTTGGTGCTTCCTCTTCCGGGGCAACCTGCAAACCGCTGAGCAGTAAGGAGCGCCGACGTGTCAAGAAAGCCAATCGTGCCGCTGTTAAGAAGGACAAGAACCTGCTCAATTCGAATGCCACGGCGGCCGGTGCCACAGGGCCAGAAACGGGAACGGATTCCGGTGCCGGCGGAGGAGCTGACGGTGAGTCCGAGGCAGATGACGACGGAATGTCCGATGCGGATGTGGAAGACAATCTAACGGATGATTCGCAACCGAAGAAATTCGGCGGCGCTCAGATAGATCAAAACGGCAACCAACAGTCGTCGGTTGGACCGGAAAAGCGCGATGACACACCGGAGAACCCGAACAAGGAAGGCGTCGGGGACGGCAACGTGGTTTGTGAGCTAGGTTTGAGTGCCGAGGGAGTGGCCATCATGATGGAGAAGATGACGCTGAACAGTAGCGGTGATCAGCAGCAGGACGAGCAGGATGCCAAAAACTTGAAGACACGTCGCCAGAGAACCTACAGCCATGCCGACTGGGGAAGTACGTTGGCCCCACGATACCAATGCGAAGAAAACGAATGTTCCATTCAATCCTGCTTGAACGGCTTCACGGTCGCCGAACTGATGACTGGCAGTAACAAGGTCTGCTGCCTTGCCTGCACCGAACGAATCAACGGCAAGGACGGCAAATCGGTCAATACGAATGCAACGAAGCAGTTTCTGATTTCTTCCCCACCGGCTGTCCTCATCCTGCACCTCAAACGCTTCCAGGTCGGACCTCGCGGAATGCTACGAAAGATCACCAAATCCGTTACGTTTCCCTTCGTGCTGGACATTGCTCCGTTCTGCGGTTCCCGGGTAAAAAAGCTGCCCAACGTTATGCCCGGCCAGAAGAAACTGCTCTACTCGTTGTACGGAATCGTGGAACATTCGGGCACCATGCACGGAGGACACTACGTAGCCTATGTGAAAGTCCGTCCACAGCTTCCACGAGACGATATGCGGTGGGAGTTCCTGCCGAAGGGATCCAAAGCCGAACTGGACCAGAAGGACGAGGAAGCCCTTCAGCTCGAACGGGAACTGGCCAAAGAACAGGCCCGCAATATGACCACCGCCGCCAGGGACAGTGACGATGCGCTCAGTTCGTCCAGCAGCTTGTCGAGCAGTCGATCCAGCACCGGAATGACCACCTCCGACGGCGACGAGGAAGGCGCCGTGGGTTACACGCCCAAGGCGGAAATCCTACCGGACGTGGACCCACCGCCCGGCAAGTGGTACTACGTGTCCGACAGTCACGTCCGCGAGACGACCGAAGAGCAGGTGCTGAACGCCCAAGCCTATTTGCTGTTCTACGAGCGGATTTTCTAAGCGGCAGAAACGTCAACAGGTACGAGTGGGTGCGGGAAAAAATCTTGACGGGTTGATGCAAGGTCGTTGCGTTTGGTGGCAATGTTGTCGAATATCTTGATTTTGTTTGGCGTTGTAGGAATAAACTGTTGTGAATTGTTTCCATAAACAAAAAAAAAACGTTATGGCTGAATGGAAGAGGATGAGAGGAATTTTCAGCCGGTTGTTATCTTTGTTATCTGGCATTCTTACAACATGTCCCACCTGATACGCTTTTGTAGCTTTGGCGACTTTCTGAATGCAGAGGACTTTCCAGGGGAATATTTCTAGTGAATTTTAAGGAGAAATTCAATTGCATGGGAATTTATGAACAGATGCTTAGGACAATGGAATTGTGATGAGAATTCCAGGTGAACTTTAAGGAGAAATAGCCATGAGATTTCCTTTAAAAAATGGTAATTCTGACTAGAATTCCAAAATGATTATGGGATTTATAAACAATTCTAAAAGAAATTGAAGGGAGGACTTCGGTCACGTCTATTTTGAAATTCCAGGGAAATTCTGAGCAGAGATCGTAGGAGGTTTCAAATCAAATTCCTGTCAGAATGTCAAGCATGGCAACTGAAACGAGTATTCAGTGGAGAATTTGAGCGAGAATTAGCGGAGTTAATTGACCAGTTCCACGCCAGCTGACGAATCGGTTTTATTTTTACCTCTCCGAATTCCTTGAAACTTCGCATAATTGTTCACTTGATAACATTAAGAAGGTAGCATGCAACTTACCTTTTCCCTCGTTGCTCTCAGCGTTTTCGCAGGCGTCGGGGCACTAGTTATTTTGGTTGCGGCGCACTTTCGTTCGTCCATTCGCGCACTAATGTGGACCGTTCTATCGGCCGGTTCTGGCCCGGTTTCTTGGAAAAACACTAGGAGCACGAAGGAGGCAATTCTTTACTCCTTTGGCTACCACACAATAGACGGACACTCGCGAACCACCAATCCCATGCATTCAAGAGCGCCTATATGTATCGGCTGGGATTGGGGACCAGCTCCAGAATCGTGCACTACCGAGACTGGGTTTCTCCTGTTCTGGTCAGCCTTAACAGCCCGATCCAGTTGCCACACTTGGCGGCACACAGGCGAAGGCAATTTTCGATGCTGTTCTCCAATACTCGACTGTAGAATTAGGAATAGTTGATTTTAACAATAGATGTCACTAGTAAGAAAAGGCCTCCTCCCGTGCCCTAGTTCCCATATATTTAAGATAAACTTTTAAAGCCCGAAAGCCACTAGTCCCAAATGATTATAGGACAAATGAAAATTTTGAAATTTCTGTTGTAAGGCCACTTTTTAAAGATGTTGAAAATTAGATTTGATGAGAATTCTAAACGAATTCGGTGATGAATTTTACGAGAGACAATTTGGAGAACAATTTCAATTTAGGAGAACTACTTATAAGTTAGTTCTGAAGACAATTTGTTGGTGACTCCGCGGAGAGAGTTAACATGGCCGAATTCCTCCGGCACAAACATGAGTCATGGCCCCAAGTTGTAGCATTAGACCATGTCCCATGAAATTCAAATATACCCATAAACGTGAGTGGGAAGGAAGTGCTGTCCTCCCATTCCTGTTTCGCGTCTCCCTCGCTCTCAATGGAAACCGGAATCCGAAGTGCTAAATATACTTGGGAGAGGATAAAAGGATGTAAGCAGCAAACGGACACCCCGGAGATTCCTGAATTTCAGCCCAAAATCCAAAATCTTCGACAGCATTGCCTAACGAAATTTCATAATCAACCACCCCCCCGAACGAGGTCAGTCGTTGGATGCATAATTTTAAAAGAGAATCACATTATTTTCCCTTCCACGTGCTCGAAACTGTCATCCGTCAGAGACGTTTGTTTGACAACAACAATAAGAAATCCCTATTGATCAACCTACTGCATATAATCCGAGCATTTAAGTGGACAGAAAATGGAATGAGGATCCCCTAATTACCACGGTTAGATGTTACTCACAGTGTATGAATTAACAAACGTGAAGAAGAAGAAAGCTATTTAATTTATTATGCAAGTTGTCCTCACATCATTGATTGCAAAACAAATAAAATACACACACCACACTGGAGTGCGTTGTTTGATGATTAAACTAGAAACTTATTGCGTAAAGGCAACCAACCTCTACTCTCTAGCTCTATCCTACTTCTTTCGTAATGCGAAAACTGTACTAAGAAAGGAAAGGCAAGAGAAAGGAAAAACCGCTAGATAATAAGAACCTAAAGAGATTCGCTGCTTTCGCGCTTCGTCGTTCGCAGTGTGGAAATTTTCACTGTGACGAACAAAAAACCGAAATGATTTATAACACACATAAAACTAGATATTGACTACCTACTTAAACAGCATGCATAAATCTACGCAATTTACTCTGCATTCAAATGGACTATAATTATGAGTGGAAGGAACGAAACGAATCGAAGCGTAAATTGAGGGAAAGAATAATGAAAACAATAATATGATAAAATCAATTTTCAAAATCCTTTTGCCTAGCGAGCCTCAGATTAGTATACATATAAAAAATATATTGTAATTTACCGACATCCAGGAAGATTTTTTTCTCAAATAAAACAAGAATTATTGCTGCAGAAATTCGGAGGGGTTTGTTATTGGTAGTAAGTTCAATATCACCATTGCAATGATCAATTTATTTGTTTCGAACCATAAGAAATCCAAGGCTAAAGCCAAAGACTACAAATCAAGAAGACTGGCAACTGTTCCCTTCTCCTTTGAAGCACTAGTGTTAGTGAGACTGCTCATAAACAGTGACTGTGGTACTCGTTGTTGTTTTGTTGTTGCTCTACAAAATGTCACGGCAATTTGTATCCTAATCCCAAGTGGTTTTCCAACACCAAACCGAAAAAATTGTCATGGTGGATCAAGTAGAGGATTGAAACTCGGATCGATACCTAGTGAAACTAACATTTACTTGTGAGCGAGGAACCGAAATATTGTTTATTTTGCCAGTTGGAAGCAATCAATTATAAAGGAATTGGCAGCTTCCATCAACATTGAGGGAACTACCGACAGCTGCTGAAAATTCAAGGATTCAAAAAGAAGAAAGATCCGGTACCTACATCACGATCCAACGGAAGGAAATGTTGGTGAAAATGAAAGGTTGAAGGACTACAATCCCAAACGGTACGTATTGATAAAGAATATATTTCCATTTTAGATGTTGTCAGAACATGAAACCACCGGATAGTGATCCTCTGTATGCTTTAACAATTCTCAGAATCAACCGACCCCTTCCGGAGAATGATAACAACAGTGTCGGATTGGCCAGTGACATTCAAATGGTCAGCGAGTACTGTGTCAAGTTGCCGACCGTCACAACTTAACTCCCCCCGTTGTGGCCAGCTGCCAAAGCCGTGCGGAACGGGCATGCATTTTACTACGAATGCCCATAAATGCATCACTAAAGTGTAACCGTTCTGTTACAAAGGTTCAATACAATATTTTAAATATGCACCATGTGATCGAGCATGCAAATAAATTTGTGTAACACTTGCGGTGAAACCCACTGGGCAGACGATACGGCCATGCTTAACGGCCGACTGCTGAATAAGGTGCGCATGGCCGCGGCAAAATGGTGACACGGAGTCACGGGTGATGAGCTGAAGGGTTCTGCGATGCTTAGAGAACGGCCGTCGTTCACTTTAAAGGGCGAACACGAAATTATTGCGACACATTCAACAGGGCATTACTTTTTTACCATTGGGTAAAAATCAACCAAATTTTGCACACTTTCTCATTGATGTGTATTGTGTACATGCTGTCAAACTCGAAGTCGTGTTTTTTGATTCAACGAAAATGGAGGTGAACCAACGCGAGTTGAGAGAACAAATTCTTTCCAAACACCTGGAATTTCCTGACCTGTCGCACCGGCAGTTGGGAAAAATGTTGAACATTCACCATTCAACCGTCTCCAGAGTGTTGAAGCGGTTCCAAGAGCGGTTGACGTTGGACCACGGCAAAGGAGCTGGAAGAAAACCGGGACCGGAGAACAAAAAGACGGAGGGAAAGGTGAAGCGGATGATTAAAGCAAATCCCAACGTCTCAAGCCGTGATTTGGCTAAAAAGATCGGCATGTCGCAGAGCTACGTCCAGAATGCAAAGAAGAGAGCTGGACTACATACATACAAGGTACAGAACTTCCCAAACCGCGATGAGCGGCAACAATCGACGGCTAAAACTCGGGCACGGAAGCTCTACGAGAAGATGCTGACAAAATATGGCTGCTGTGTGATGGACGACGAAACGCATATAAAAGCCGATTTTAAGCCAATTCCGGGGTTGGAGTTTTTCACCGGCAAGAGTAAGTTCGATGTGGACGACAAATTTAAAAAGAAGAAAATGTCGAAGTTCGCCTCCAAATATCTCATTTGGCAGGCCATCTGCTCTTGCGGACTGAGGAGTGAGCCTTTCGTGACAAAGGGCACAGTAAATGGCGAGATCTACAAATCTGAGTGCCTCGAGAAGCGCCTTTTGCCGTTCTTGCAGCAGCACGACGAAGCTCCGCTATTTTGGCCAGATTTGGCATCATGCCACTATTCTAAAAGTGTCCTGGAGTGGTATGAGGCCAATTCTGTCCATTTTGTTCCAAAGGACATGAATCCGCCAAACTGTCCGGAGCTGCGCCCGATGGAGCAGTACTGGGCAATAATGAAGCGGGAACTTCGGAAGAGCAAGAAGACAGTCAAAGACGAGAAGGACATGTTAAGAAAATGGAAAAAAAAAACTGAGAAACTGGTACCGGATGACACTGTAAAGACTTTGATGGAGGGCATCAAGCGAAAATGCGTTCAATTTTACACTCAAGGCTCCATCGATTAACTTTTCTTTTGATTGTTGAAGTAAATATATGAATAAAACTACCCTAAAATTTTGGTTTGATTCTAAACATTATAAGAAAATTGGTATGACATTTTCGGTGTCGCAATAATTTCGTGTTCGCCCTTTATCTCAGGCGAGCGTGTAGACCAGAAGTGTCTGTGGAATACATTTTAACAGAATACAGTGCGAGTAGTGAATCAAGGTGAAGTGGAAATCACCAATTCAGCTGATTTAGGTAAAGTCCAAGTCATCCTCTAAATTGGTCCAAGGCACTAATGGATGTTACCTCCTCGCTAGGACCTTTCTTTTCAACCAATCAAATGGTTTTCTGGTTGGCGAGTCAAAGACCGCCATTGCACGCTACGGTCTAGGTGACATTTAGTTACCTTGACCTAACCGTAAATGACATCGTTCCGGAACCACAGCGAGCGCTCGCTGGTCTGCAGTCGTCGTAGTCGCCATCGTCATCAAGGGTATGTGCCAAGAAAATCGAACACAACACCACACAATCCACACTATCGGTAATTGGAGAAATACAGTGTTTAAATTGATCCGCGTTGTGTTTCAGTTTAATTGAAAGCTTGAGTGCCTTTTCATCCGCGTAGCCCCTCCAGTTTGCCCCAGTAGTGCGCCGACTCTGAGACACAGTTCAAGGAGTCTCGTGCTGCTGAGTTGTTGTCAGGCAGAACATTGGTTTCAAAAGGGCTTAGGGAAAGTGGATCATAATTCTGAGATAGCAAATTAATGATCGAGGAAGGTCCCACCATCATTGTGAAATTGCCATTACATTTTACAATTTACATACGCATTGAATTTTACTCGTTGTCTGCATAAATCAAAGTAAGAAACGTATCACTTTTTACGACAATCATAACAAAACCAAAAAATGACAGCTATTGATTTCTACATATCAAGGTTGCAAATACTCATTTCAGCTAAAATAATGTTTTTCGGAATTATAAAACCAAAAGATAGTATGATGGCATGTTTTACTTGTAACTTACAAGGAGAGGTTACAAAGTATGCGTTTGAAACATAAAACCTGTAAATTTTCCTGATGAATGTGGGCGTCTTAGTGGAATACCTGTATAATGAGAGAGAGAAGGATTAGTATTTTCCATTTAATTCCACTACTTTATTTGCTTATCCTTGACAGATACGCGTATTTCGTCTACAATGTGCAGACTTCTTCAGTGTCTTGTATTAGTACAAGACACTGAAGAAGTCTGCACATTGTAGACGAAATACGCGTATCTGTCAAGGATAAGCAAATAAAGTAGTGGAATTAAATGGAAAATACTAATCCTTCTCTCTCTCTGTAAATTTTGCATTCTTTGAGTCACAATCAGCGATTTTCTGATCGCTGAGTGAGTGAGTGAGTGAGTGAGTGAGTGTGTGAAAAATCGCTGATTGTGACTCTCATGAAGGGGAATAAACAGGTTTAGTATGTCAAACACATTCTTGGCAACCTCTTCTTAAATCCTACCTATTCAAAATATGATCATGGCACAAGGGGTAGGTCACTCCGCACACCAATCTTGGGTCATCTTTTTTGTCAGTGTGCCGCAGGTGTGCCGATTGTGCCGGTCATAGATCAAGCTGCGATTGTTTGTAAAATGCCCATCCCGGCAACCCGGTATTTCTGACACCTTGAATGTTTTGGTTTGAAATCGCAAGGATGAATCGGATTGAGGATGACGCGGGTGTGCGAAATGTTGGTGTTTTATGTTCATTGGATGATAAAAGTCCTGTGTTTTAGGGTTTTATAAAGCCCTCAAAGGCAGACCAGAAACCTAGCGTATAGTGCTGTGAAAGCAACGGTCTATCAGCGGCCGGAAAGAGATAAAACCGGTGGGGAACATTGTTGGAGACCAACTATAGACGATGATGAATAGACTTCTGTAGTTAGTTTTGTGTGAGTTGCATCATTATTTGAATTAAGGGTGCTAATGGGGTCTGAATAACTGCCTCTTTCTCTTGAGCCCACCCACTCTAGAACCTACATTTCGTATTTAGATCTATAAGTGAACTGCTGGTCTGAGTTCCTCTGGTATATCCAATTAGATTATTGTCCTGAATATACAGTCAAACAGCACGTAATGTTGTGAACAACTTCAAAGACAGTTATCCAGCAGTGCTTCCATTTTATTCACAACAATCCAGTACCTACGAGATTGTGCCGAAGGTGTGTCGATGGATGTGCCCAAGCTGTGTCGAATTTAATTTCGACACAATGTGCTGAGTGACTTACCCCTTGTCATGGCATCTAATTATTTCATAATTTAAAAAACATTGTTTTAGCTGAAATGAGAATTTGCAACCTTGCTACATATGTGTGTGAATGCTTTCGTGAATTAACACACACCATCATACACAGGTTGCAGTTTTGCTCAGAAGAGGCGTTGCTGTTACTATCTCCTGACTTTTGGCAGAGTTACCAGTCTTCTTGATTTGTAGTCTTCGCTAAAGCACAGGAAGCTCACTATGCCCCTCCTTCCCCTACCAGTAGTCAGTTCCTCGAAGAGTCCAACAGATGCAATGACGTTTACCGTGCCAGCACCATATTTGACGCGTCCCTAATGATGACGCACTCGTCTAATTTTTATCGCATCTCGATTTTGACAAGATATTTTTCGATACTTTGTTACACCATCATCCCTAGAGCACAGGAACTAATATTTGCAGAAGTAACATTTCAAAAATAATGATTGAAAATAGTCGAACATTATTGAGTGCGTCGATTTAGGAACCGCTTC